CCTGTGCTTGCGGTGGTTGTGTGTCGGCTCCTGGGCCCTGCCTCTCAACCTGTAGTTGATTTGTTTCATTCTGTATAATTTTTTAATCCGCGAAGGGAGTTTGCCTCCTCTGTGATATCTGTTTCTTCTTCACTGTCTTTACACTGTATAAGCTGTCCCCAGGGCTATCACGGGTGGTCCATGGGTGAGAGACCATATGCACCCATTCACTCCCAGTCACTCAGGCATCCGTCCGGTCATCCAGTCATCCACCAGCTTGAGCAAGGAGAGTGCATACATAGCTACCTCAAACTGGTACACCCATGTCCTGTACCGTATATATTAGTCTACCTAAGACAGGTACACCCACCTATTGTACCGTTTATATTAGTCTACCTCAGACAGGTACACCCACGTATTGTACCGTTAATATTAGTCTATCTCAGACAGGTATACCCGCGTCCAGCTTGTGTCTTCCTCCTGAACTCCTTATTGCTAATGAAACTTCCTTAACTTGGTGATTATTCTGGAGAAGCGCCAAGTTATCAAATATTAATTATAGATCCAGTGGCACCTGGCACCTAGACCCAGTGGCACCTGGCACCTAGACCCAGTGGCACCTGGCACCTAGATCCAGTGGCACCTGGCACCTAGGCGCTGAGCCAGGGGAACGATACGCCATGAGCTGGTCTCATGGAAATGCTACTCAAACCTGCAGTACGAAACGTAGACTTGGTAGTTTAGTCTTGCTAATTTAATCATATAGTGGTCATATATGGCAAATATAGCAAGTGGAGGCCTGCAATGGTCCGTCCTAAGCCCTAGTGTGTTCCTAGTACATGTAAGTGACCTATTAGAGTGAATAATTCAAATACGAACATAAGAAATTAAGCAGGCGATGAGTCACAATAACGTGGCTGAAATATGTTGACCAGACCACACACTAGAAAGTGAAGGGACGGCGACGTTTCGGTCCGTCCTGGACCACTTTCGTATTCCTTTTCTTTCCCTTGTTTTACGATCCCTTGCTTATTCCTATTGCATATATTAAATACATGTAGTAGACATAATAGAGGAAAAATAAATTGCTTAGAAAGGCGGGGTACAAGAGCTAATAGCTCGATTTTGCAGATACAAATAGTAAATAAAAGTAGCAAATACACATACACACACACGCGCGCGCGCGTGCGGCAAGCCAAACAAAATCAAGTTACAAAATTTACAAACAAACAGAGAACAGATTTTCCCACCTCCACACACCACCACCAGCGAGACCTTCACATAATGAACAAATCCACAAGGGCTGTGACGAGGATTCGAACCTGCGTCCGGGAGCATCCCAGTCATCCCATGTTGACATAATGTCAACAACAATGAAACTGAAAACTGTTAAAAGTCCTGTGCAGATGTGGAAGTTGGTCTTGTATGATTAATAACCCATGAATACCAGGCTAAATTGTGATGAGATAGGACTTTTAGACCAGTTGGAGGTCGGACTTGACACTGGGAGACCAGTTGGGGGTGGGACTTGAACTTGACTCTGGGAGATCAGTTGGGGGTGGGACTTGACTCTGGGAGACCAGTTGGGGGTGGGACTTGACTCTGGGAGACCAGTTGGGGGTGGGACTTGACTCTGGGAGACCAGTTGGGGGTGGGACTTGACACTGGGAGACCAGTTGGGGGTGGGACTTGACTCTGGGAGACCAGTTGGGGGTGGGACTTGACACTGGGAGACCAGTTGGGGGTGGGACTTGACTCTGGGAGACTAGTTGGGGGTGGGACTTGACTCTGGGAGACCAGTTGGGGGTGGGACTTGACTCTGGGAGACCAGTTGGGGAGTGGAACTTTACCTGTGGTATTCAGAGTGTGTGTGTGAGTGCAAGTGACGATGTACTTACCTAATTGTACTTACCTAATTGTGCTTGCGGGGGTTGAGCTCTGGCTCTTTGGTCCCGCCTCTCAACTGTCAATCAACTGGTGTACAGGTTCCTGAGCCTATTGGGCTCTATTATATCTACACTTAAAGCTGTGTATGGAGTCAGCCTCCACCACATCACTTCCTAATGCATTCCATTTGTCTACCACTCTGACACTGAAAGATTTCTTTCTAACGTCCCTATGGCTCATTTGGGCACTCAGTTTACACCTGTGTCCCCTAGTGCGTGTGCCCCTTGTGGCAAATAGCCTGTCTTTATCTACCCTATCAATTCCTCTGAGAATCTTGTATGTGGTAATCATGTCTCCTCTAACTCTTTTGTTTCCCAGTAACATGAGGTTTAATTCCCGTAGTCTCTCCTCGTAGCTCATACCTCTCAGCTCGGGTACTAGTCTGGTGGCAAACCTTTGAACCTTTTCCAGTTTAGTTTTAAGCTTGACTAGATATGGACTCCATGCTGGAGCCGCATACTCCAGGATTGGTCTGACATATGTGGTATACAAAGTTCTGAATGATTCTTTACACAAGTTTCTGAATGCCGTTCTTATGTTAGCCAACCTGGCATATGCCACTGATGTTATCCTCTTGATATGGACTTAAGGGGACAGGTCTGGCGTGATATCAACCCCCAGGTCTTTCTCTCTCTCTCTGACTCTTGAAGTATTTCATCTCCCAAATGATACCTTGTATCTGGTCTCCTGCTCCCTACACCTATCTTCATTACACTGTATTTGCTTGGGTTAAACCCTAACAACCATTCTCTAACAACCACTCTAACAACCACTCACACTCATGTGTGTGAGTGCAAGTGAGAATGTGTGTGAGTGCATGTGCTGACTTATATGTACCTACCTTACACATGTATGTGTGTGTTCACCCACAAGACAGGAGCGTGTAACAGCTCCCAGGAGCACCATTCCCACACTCTCCCACCCTCTTCCACACTCTCCCACACTCTCCCACACTCTCCCACACTCTCCCACACTCTCCCACACTCTCCCACACTCTTCCACACTCTCCCACAGCCATTTATCCACATTTATCTCTGATTTGCATATGCAGTGATGCCACCTCCGAGAAAATCCCCCACCGTGGTAATGGCTGATTTACGAGTTTTGTTTTTAATGCCAGAATTTATGGGACTCGCGTTCGAGGTCATCTGGGAACGATGTTTGTGTGGATTAACGACTTCCAATGTTGTTTTAAATAGAAGAAATATAACCTTGTTGACACCAATAAATATGATCGCTATGTAACTGAAAGTTCAGGCGTGTTTTTATTCAATATGACGTTAATGTAATTGATGTAATTGCATGATACAAAATACATTTGTGGATTATTGCGGTTATATAAATTAATATAGAGAATTATTTTCAATATGATGGTTACGTAATTATGCTATGAGAATGTGTTCTCAGTGAGGTCATTATACACGTTTGGTGGCATATTAAGTGATGTATATTTGTCTCATTTTTTCGTGTATAAGAGAAGCTATATTTATGTATTTTGACTTTCGTTTAACAGAGAAATCTGATAAAAAAAATGTCAAAAGAGACACAAACTGAATTACAGACAGATAGGTCGATAAATAGAGAAAGTGAGGAAGAGATAAAAACAGAAAAATAGAAGATTAGAGTGAGAGAGAGAGAGAGAGGGAGGAGAGAGAGAGAGAGAGAGAGAGAGAGAGAGAGAGAGAGAGAGAGAGAGAGAGAGAGAGAGAGAGAGAGAGAGAGAGAGAGAGACGGTGAGAAAGATTTATTGCTACTAAATTCTGTCTTTGCATATATCTGTGCACGTCTGAGGCGTTTGTCAGGCGTGAAGACAGACTGTGAGACAAGGATGCTGAACTGGTCGAGGGATGCTGTTGAGACGGGGAATGTTTCTCACATTTGTAGCTATATAGTTATATCCCAAGACTTTGTTTTGTTCTTATTATATCTTGATATTAAGCTCTATCTCTTGTCTCTTGTCTCTCTTCTCTCTCTCTCTCTATCTCTCTCTCTCTCTCTCTCTCTCTCTCTCTCTCTCTCTCTCTCTCTCTCTCTCTCTCTCTCTCTTCCCTGTCTCTCTCTCTCTCTCTCTCTCTCTCTCTCTCTCTCTCTCTCTCTCTCTCTCTCCTCTCTCTCTCTCTCTCTCTCTCTCTCTCTCTCTCTCTCTCTCTCTCTCTCTCTCTCTCTCTCTCTCTCTCTCTCTCTCTCTCTCTCTCTCTCTCTCTCTCTCTCTCTCTCTCTCTCTCTCTCTCTCTCTCCCCTGGCTGATATATGCTTTAATATACCGTCCCTTATAAAGAAAGAGGAGCTCGGTACTAGCATTTCTACTCACTAAGGCTTCTGAAGGGGGATTAAGAAGAGAGGGATAAGAGATGAGGGGATGGAACAAAGAGCAAGAAGGAAGAGGAGGAGAAGAGAGGAAGAGTGAACATAATTGCGACATGGAGAAGGAGAGAGGGAGTTATCAGAAGCACCAAGCCATTACGACTATATAGCACTCGGATGGGGTCAGGATAAGGGATGGGACGGGGGGGAAGGAATGGTGCCCAACCACTTGGACGGTCGGGGATTGAACGCCGACCTGCATGACGCTCTACCGTCGCTCTACCGTCCAGCCCAAGTGGTTGGGCACCATTCCACACTAATACTCGGAGGTGTGATGAGATTCATTCGTAAATGATGCAAATGAGACCAAATAAGAAAATAATGTCATAAAACAATGAATGTCTGTCTGTTTGGAATATACGTAAACTGGAGTTGGGTTCGACTCAACCTCTTGGTTCCCGGTTCGACCCAACACTTATATGGAATTACCTTTTGGTTACAGTGATGAAGATAATGAGGTGTGAATATCCTTATGTTGTACAACCTTTCAATTTACCGTAAAATAAAATTATTTTTTTTATGATATCGATGTTTCTTTATTATCTCTCTCTCTCTCTCTCTCTCTCTCTCTCTCTCTCTCTCTCTCTCTCTCTCTCTCTCTCTCTCTCTCTCTCTCTCTCTCTCTCTCTCCTCAGTTGGTTTAACATATATGACTTATCTTCTAATCTTATACATTTCAGGTGTAAACCGGGTCTTGTCCAGCCTCTGAGTCCAGGTCGCCGCCCCCGTCAGGATGGGCGTGTGGGCGTGGTGGGTGGCGGGGGTGCAGGTGTGGGTGGCAGTGGTGCAGGTGTGGGTGGTGGGGTCCTCCAAGACCTGGCCTTGGACCCCGACGGCAGTCTTGGCTTCTGGGGCGAGACCCAATGTTGTTGCTGAAGTCCCCGGCTTGGACGTGGGTGAGTCACCTCTTGGACTTTTGCTTACACTTGGACTTTTCGCCACACTTGGACTTTTGTTCACACTAGGACTTTTGCTCACACTTGGGCTTTTGCTCACACTAGGACTTTTGCTCGCACTAGGACTTTTGCTCACACTAAGACTTTTGTTCACACTAAGACTTTTGCTCACACTAAGACTTTTGCTTACACTAAAACTTTAGCTCACACTTAGAATTTTGCACATACTAGTACCTTTACCCAGACTAGGATTTTGATCATATTAGGATTTATTTTTATAGGGATTTACTCAGAGAACGATTTTCTAAACTAAGAATGTCCTAATTATAATTTATTCATAAAATATTATCTGTTTAATAATTTAGTGACACAAATCTACTCACAGGAATATGCTGGTTTAATACAAAATAAATCCACTTTACCCAAATGTGGATTTACACTCAAGGATTTACTCCAAAGAATATAGATTGGTACAGAATCTGGATTTACTTATATAAGAAAGGATTAAATCCAAATAATATATTCCCACTGAGAAATCTGTCAAGATTTCAGCTTTAGCGAATTTCAAGTCTTGTGGTTTGTGTCCAGAAATTGGGGGGTTGTTAGGGGGAGCTGGGGGGGGGGGGGGTGGTGGGGTGTAGGGGGGGGTAGTGAGGAGGGGTGCAGGAGGGGGGGCAGGGGGTTGATGGGGTGAAGGGGGTTGATGGGGTGAAGGGGGTTGATGGGGTGAAGGGGGTTGATGAACAAATGTGCTGGAAAATAACATTGGATTTTGCGTTCTAAAAATTGTATATAATTTACGTTATTGAAATTATATATAATTTACGAATATTGAAAAAAATATAATTTACGCTGTTGAATAATATATATAATTTGACTAGTGACTGTATAAGTAACTTGAAATAATTGTATATTTGCCTACCTGTGCACTTTTGTAAACACAATTATAAGAAAAGGTAATTCGGAAGAGCTAATGGAACTCGGGGAAATAAAATTTTTGAAAAGAACATTGAGTGTCGCATCAGAAGCCAGACAGCCAAAAATGCGAGGTATAACAGGTGAATGTTGTTCCATGTGTAGAGTCACATGTACTCACACACATGAGAGAATAGTGCACTCTGGCCTCCTCTCTCTACCACAGAGTTCCTCACACTCTTTTAGGATCTGGAGCTGTTGTTCAGTCGATTATACCTTGCTCGTCCACTGCCATTTGTAGCCGCGCTAACACCTGGTTAATTTATGCAGGTAGAGTGGACAGAGTGCATGCTGGTAGAGTGAAGTGAGGGGAGTATACTCTCTCTCTCTCTCTCTCTCTCTCTCTCTCTCTCTCTCTCTCTCTCTCTCTCTCTCTCTCTCTCTCTCTCTCTCTCTCTCTCTCTGTCTCTCTCTCTGTCTGTCTGTCTCTCTCTCTGTCTCTCTCTCTCTCTCTCTGTCTCTCTCTCTCTCTCTCTCTCTCTCTCTCTCTCTCTCTCTCTCTCTCTCTCTCTCTCTCTCTCTCTCTCTCTCTCTCTCTCTCTCATCCATAATATAGGCCATACATAACATAGGTCATTCATGGGATGAGTTATACATAACAAGGAGTCATACATAAATAACATGGGGTCATACATAACAAGGGTCATATTATGAGTATTACACATCATGGGGCCTCACCCCTCATACATGACGCATACTCACCCCAAAATACTCCACGATAACATTCCCTTTTCGCTTATTTTTCCTAACAAAAAATAAACTATTCAAATACAAAATATTTTTGTTAACATTTTTAGCAGGCTTTTTTTATGCAAAAAAAGAAACTTTGTTATTCGAGTTTGGGAACAAGTTGTAATAATTAATATCCAGGTATTGGACGAAATAGAAAAACGATAATATTTTAGATAAGAATATTGAGTTTATCAAAGAAATATTGACTTTCGTTACTTTTTTGTTCTTGAAGGCAAGATGGTCGCAGTGATGTGAGAGTGAGATAGTGTGTTGTGCAACAACCACAATCACTTCATAACAGGTGTAATTACAATCACCTCACAACAGGTGTAACAACAATCACTTCACACCTGGTGTAATTACAATCACCTCACAACAGGTGTAACAACAATCACTTCACACCTGGTGTAATTACAATCACCTCACAATAGGTGTAACCACAATCACTTCACACCTGGTGTAATTACAATCACTTCACACCTGGTGTAATTACAATCACCTCACAATAGGTGTAACAACAATCACTTCACACCTGGTGTAATTACAATCACCTCACGACAGGTGTAACCACAATCACCTCACGACAGGTGCAACCACAATCACCTCACACCAGGTGTCGCTAAAACCTTCACAGACATTATTACAACTGCCACAGATGTAAACACACCTGCTTACAACGACAGGTGTGCCCGTAACCAGCCCACACCAACAGGAGGCTTGCTGCATGGTCCCATATCTTAGGTGGGTGAGCACAGAGTTCCATATCTGATATCCCATATCGACAAGGAACGGCGATCCCGGTATTACGAGTTAAGGGACTTAAAGTGTGCTTCACACACCTGCCTCCATTAAGGAGGCCATCGCCGAATCACAACCCTGACTTAATGAACTCAGAGTCACGTGTCTCATTAACATCTCAGCTGTAAGTGGATTACGTCATTCGTTGTCTTACATTTGACGTAATATTACGTGGGATGGTGTTCAGGGGGGGGGGGAGGTGGTACTAATTGGTAGGAAGGGTGATTAGGAAAGTACGGAGTGGTACTAAAGCAGAGTGACAATAACGTGGTATTACGGGGTCACCTTAGGCCGTGCTACATGGACATTTCGTTCTAAGTAGCTAAATCTAAAAGAACTGAACGTGGTTGAAGGTGTAATGACCAAACCACACATTAGAAGATGTGAGGGTCCGGTCTCCTCCTTGACGGCTTGATCACCCAAACTGTTTTGTCTGCAGAACTTCATATCGTGTCTTCCGAGCACACGAAAAAAAGTCCAGTAGTTGGTGGAGGGAGCACCTGGTCGACCTAAGTACCAGGTCGACCTAAGCACCAGGTCGACCTAAGCATCAGGTCGACCTAAGCATCAGGTCGACCTAAGCACCAGGTCGACCTAAGCATCAGGTCGACCTGGTCAACAGATACCTCATCTAGTATATAAATAAATACACCACCACAAACAGAAGTAATAATACACTAGTGTATAAATACTCAAGTGTATTTATCCACTGGAGTACATATAAAATAAAAGTTCAAGTACGTTTATTGAGACAATAAAATACATCTCAAAGGGATAGAGTAGCTTAGGCTATACCCCCATAGAATTTTTTTTCATTCATTATTGTATAAATACACGTGTATTAATACACTAGCATGAAATACCTTGAATTTAAACATAAAATGTTTGTTTTTCATTCATGGGTCCGGTGGTTAACTGTTCTCAACAGGATAACAGTGTTGGGTCCAGTTATTACCTGGTAAATACAGGAGTTCTACGCACCTGTTATCAGGGCGGTGAACGCAAATATAACAGAGGCAAACACGCAGGCAGTGTTGCCTGTTATCTTGACGCAAAGTTCCCATTCACCCTCTCACACACTCTTATATATATTGGCTGTGCTCTCTGAAGTATGCCAGGAACTATATGATGCACGCACACACACGCGCGTTCACACGCGCGCGCGCACACACGCGCGCGCACACACACACACACACACACACACACACACACACACACACACACACACACACACACACACACACACACACACACACACGGTTGTGTGTGTGTGTCCCGCCTCTCAACCGCCTCTGACGGTTGAGAGGCGGGACCAAAGAGCCAGGGCTCAACCCCCGCAAACACAAGTAGGTGAGTACACACACACACGTACACACACAAACACACACATACACACACACGCGCGCACACACACAGGAAGGGGCCTCGTAGCCTGGTGGATAGCGCGCAGGACTCGTAATTCTGTGGCGCGGGTTCGATTCCCGCACGAGGCAGAAACAAATGGGCAAAGTTTCTTTCACCCTAAGTGCCCCTGTTACCTAGCAATAAATAGGTACCTGGGAGTTAGTCAGCTGTCACGGGCTGCTTCCTGGAGTGTGTGTGTGTGGTGTGGGGAAAAAAAAAAAGAAAGTAGTTAGTAAACAGTTGATTGACAGTTGAGAGGCGGGCCGAAAGAGCAAAGCTCAACCCCCGCAAAAACACAACTAGTAAACACACACACACACACACACTATTTCTTGTATATGTTAACGACATGTTTACAGGCGTAGAGTCCTACATGTCGATGTTTGCGGATGACGCAAAGTTGATGAGAAGAGTTGTGACAGATGAGGATTGCAGGATCCTCCAAGAGGACCTGACAGGTTGCAGAGATGGTCAGAGAAATGGCTACTGGAATTCAACACGAGCAAATGTAAAGTTATGGAAATGGGACTAGGAGATAGGAGATCAAAGGGACAGTACACAATGAAGGGGAACAGCCTACCTGTAACGACGCGTGAAAGAGACCTGGGGGTGGACGTAACACCTAATCTATCTCCTGAGGCACATATAAATAGGATAACGACAGCAGCGTACTCTACACTGGCAAAAGTTAGAACATCATTCAGAAACCTAAGTAAGGAGGCATTTAGGGCGCTTTACACTGCCTACGTAAGGCCAGTCTTAGAGTATTCCGCCTCATCATGGAGTCCCCATCTGAAGAAGCATATAATGAAACTGGAAAAGGTTCAGAGGTTTGCAACGAGACTCGTCCCAGAGCTACGAGGGATGGGGTATGAGGAGCGCCTGAGGGAACTGTGCCTTACGACACTAGAAAGAAGAAGGGAGAGGGGGGACATGATAGGAACGTATAAGATACTCAGAGGGATTGACAGAGTGGACATAGAGGAAATGTTCACACGGAATAGTAACAGAACGAGGGGACATGGATGGAAGCTTGAAACTCAGATGAGTCACAGAGATGTTAGGAAGTTTTCTTTTAGCGTGAGAGTAGT